TTGTCAAAGTACGGTCTGTAAATCAGCCCCGCCTGCCGCCTAGCCAAGGTTAGAAGAAGGGTTTTTCCAACCAGTAGTCATGTCAAACAGCCATGGAGGAGCTCTGGGAGGCTAAAAGTCTGAACCAGCAGCTGTCAGAGTGAAGAGGTGGTGTCTTTAGCACAGAGAGAGTGGGACAAAGAAAGAGCAACAACCAGGGTTAACATGGGTTTGGCTGTTTGACATGGAGAGGGTTAAAAGCAGCCAGAGGACTCAGACTGGATCCAGATGTGGCCTTCTTCCTTCTGGATGTGTTAGCATCTAAAGCTAACCTGTTTGTTTTGGTAGCATTAGCCACCTAGCATGGTCAGGATTTTACCTTTGTGTTGAATTAATATGATTTAAATTTGGGAGGAACTGGAGCTTTGTGTAACGTCAGTGCTTTGTGTCACATCAGCAGTAACCAGTCCCACTTTAACCTAACAAGACAGGAAACTTCAAACCTGAGTCTTGTTTAACAGCAGTGAAATCCTTTTACTGTCTGTACTGGGAGAAAGACTGGATGTGTCTAGTCTATTGCCTTTTTCTGGACTATGCTGTGTCATGTTGCTGTACTGTTTATCCTCCGCAGTATTTTGTTGTGCGTTTATTACACAAATACTGTATTGTTGGTGGATGTCTAGTGTCTCTCTCCATACACATGTGTATTTGGCAGCAAGACAGTAAAGCTCTCCTAAAGCTGAACTTGAACTCAGGCCTTGCATCCATAGGACAGAATCAAAACTGCTGAGTACTGACAGCTAGCACATCTCAGTCAGATGTTTACTCTTTTGTTCATATTCTTTAATCAAATAGTTCATTTAAATCCAATTTTTACCCATTTCAGTTTGTATTTAATGTAGTGTTTATATGGCTGCTTACATTGTGACAGTAACTATCTTAGAACTTTGGGGTTTTAAGGGTTTAAACAGTCAAGATGACCATCAAACATAAACTCTGGTATCAATATCAAAAACTATTTTCTGGTTATTGTAATATTTGTGCACACATTTGCCTGGACTGTACAAACATAAAATACATTTGGAAATCCACATGCACATTCCTACACAAAGCTGAATCTGAACTGTCATGTAAAACAGCTGACTAGCATCCAAAAATAGAATATCAGAGGGTGGAACATCTCAACAGCCTACAACTGAAAAAGCACAATTCAGAAGGAACTCATTTTCAACCTAAACATAACATTTCCAAGTTGCTAAGATGATCCTCCAGTGTAATCTTTCTAAAGCTGCTCTTGTAAATACACTATACATCCAAGAGCATGTCAACACACATCTATAGACCCTTTAGGTCTGAAGTTATTTCTCAGGGTTTAACTCCTTTAGTTCCAGTTCAGGGACACCTGACATCACACAGTGATATTTTGGACAATACTGTGCTCCCAACTTTGTCCCTTTCCTGTTTTAAGAGGACAATGCCCCTGTGCACAGAGCCTGGTCCACAGAGAAAGGTTGTCCCAGTTTGGAGTGGATGAACAGAGCCCTGACCTCAAACCCATCCAACACCACTGAGATGAACTGGAATGGCAACTGGTCATCAGCTAACACTGGTGGCCGGCGTCCAACTGAAACAGTGACGCCCTACAGATTAAGTCTGCCTACATGAGCTTCCACATCATACATGCATCTCCTGTATGAGAGGGTCATAATGATCCTGTGGTTGATTGAAAGCAAATCCCTGCTGCCAGGTTCCGATGTCTAGTGGGACGCCTCCCCAGACGGGCGTAGGTTTTTAAGGGATCAGACAGCCTGTGGTTTTGGAATGACGTTTACTGATAACATATAGGTGTCTTGATATTTTGCATTCCAACAGCCAAACAAGCTTGTGTCATTCTTTCTACAGCTGAAATCAAATATTGCTGGGACAGACAACGCGGTGGCACAAATGTTTTACATGAAATTTACATCTTTAGTTTTTGTTGACTTTGACTTTTATCTCTGGCAGGTTTAGCTTGACCATTAAGGTTATTCACTGAACGTGAACTGCTTATATGTCAAAATTAAAAACTAGACAAATAGGGGTGTCCTAAAACTTTTGACTGGTAGTGTAGTGCACTGTGTAAATGACATTTCTTGCCAAAAACACGTGGCCACAACTAACTGTCACACTTATACTTACAGGATTAGTATTATACATCTCCATTGTGTTTTACTATACACAAACTCGACCCATCTGAAAAGGAATAAGCTTCAAGTTATAATTAGTGAGGCCAAGTCAGACAGATTCCCACGGAGCCTCCAGGAGGAGCTTTCACTTTACACACACAAGTTCATTATACACAATAGGCAACACATTGGCAGGAAAACGACAAATAAACCGCCAATCACTGCATAGTACCGGCTTTAAAACAGTGTTACAACGCATATAGGGTTTATTCGATTCCTTGCGGACAGCCCCAAAATGCAGCAAGGCCTGGTTAGCACCTCTGGATTAACAGCTAAGTTTTAGCAGTAAAATTAACCCTGTATTTAGGTTCGCTGGCTTGGTTTTCGTTAGTCCTGTGGGTGAAATGTGAATAGATTAATGCCGGCACCAAAACGAGCAAGCAGTAAAGCTAATGTACATAAGACATCTACCTAAAAATATATACAAGCTACCGAGGATTAACTATGTACCAACATATGCGCCTCGTTGCAGCCATTAATTTTCTTGGCTATCTTAGTTGCCGCTCGCTTAGTTTAACATTTAACAGACTCTTCAAAACACAAGAGATGCACATCATTATCATGATTATCATCATCACCACGATCATCGTGTCAGCAGTATTAGCCGTGATACTGATTGTTAGCAGGCCATTATGAGCTGTGAATGTGACCATCCGCAAAACAATGGGTGGCAGCGCGGTGGACAGCTAAGTTAGCTCACTGACCTGACAAACACATCAAACAAAGTCTGGCTGCTCGCTAGCTAAACTAGCTAACTTCCAAATGCTTGCAAGACGCGTTTTAGCAGCAGCGGCATCCTTCTAAAGCGCTCCCTTGCGCCAGGTTTAACAGTACCGAAGTGTTTTACTTCATGGCTGTAATGTCACCCACACAACTCATGGAAGTAGTAAGGTTATGACTCGGTTCGTGAGCTAGCTTGGGTGACTTCTGAGGACTGTTTGACAGGCCTAAAACTGAATTTGGATTTGCATTCATACGAAACCGACACTGTCTGACATGAACGCATAACGTTAACTGTCACCAAATGCAAAATATAACGTCAGTAGCTCCACTGTCTTGTTGCTGTAAAGTGTAACATTAGCCAGAGAGGCAAGCTAACGTTAACCAGGAAAATACACAAAGTTATATGTAGCTAGCCACTTAGCTAACACATTCAGTAGACAGCGATGCTAACATCACCGTCTGATGTAAATAACACAATTTGTTTACTTACTTTCATTTAAAACCTCCACCAGCTCGGCGCAGTTTTCACACATTGTTCATAAAGACAAAAACTCACTGCACCTACTCAGACCATTGCGCTGGAAATTGTTGTTGGGATACGTTAAAAAAAAAAAAAAAAAAAAAGGCCCGGGGGGGGGGGGAGTGATTAGTGAAGGGTATTCCACTAAATGGAACCAGGGAGAACCACAAGATGTAGAACGTGATTTGCATCCAAGCGAAACTGATGTACACCAAAACTTAAGAGGCACTGCACGGTAAAATTCGAGTCAGTCTCCAATCTGAGCGTTACTTGAGAGAGTAGACACAAAATGATGTGTTGAAGGGGGGGGGGGGGGGGGACCCCGACACAGCGTGTACATAGCTCGGCACTTTCCGTGACATGTCCCTCAACCGTTCGTTTTTCTTCGGCAGTCTCGCGATATCTTCCTAATGGAGTAACGTTTACAACCCTTTCTCATGATCTCGAGTGCAACTGCAGTGAAAATTATGTACATAACTTTAATTGCACTTAGCTAAATACATAAATACTAACGTTAATACAAAACTGAAATCTTAATTTGACAAACAATTTCAACATTTTATGCCTGTATTTACATTTATTTCTATGTCATGCTTCGATTTAAAGCTTAAAACAGGACAGTTGTAGATTAAACATACATAAATCAATGTGAATTCCTGACAACTATAAAAATATGTAGGGAGTTTCATATAATTACTTTTCATTTTTTTGGCTCATCTGTACATATTCTACATGTATAGCCTTGGGGCTAGGGCGTTATGAAAGGGGAAAGAAATGACTAAAACCACTTTATAGCTTGATTCTTCATTTCCTATTTAGCTGTCTGCATCCCAATGACAGGTGACCTTCTAGTATTTTCAAACCAGACCCATGTCATAGCTGTCTCATGGCCCACGGTTTATGTGCATGTGGGGGCTAGAAACTCCACCCACACCCTGTAAACAAATCCGTTAGTCAAGATAAACATCACACTTACAAAAACAAGTACTTCTGTTGCCATCATCTGCAAATGCTCTGTCTTTTTACACACAGCATCTAGCGACTCAACATATCAAAACAAGTAGATTTGCAGTGAGACTTTATTATATACCAGACTGTAACATTATTAACGTGTTTTATGTCTGTTTGCCACCATGGTAATCCACCCATATGTAAACTGGTTACATGTTTTTATACTAAGGAAACTGGAGGAAATGAGCCATCTACCTTCAGTGTAATAACATTTTCAACATTCACATCTTTCACATCATAAGGTTTCTTTTGTAAAAAGGAAACGTTCAAGTTAAACTTTCCCTAAATTGAATAAGTACATTTTTCTAGCCAAAGACCATTTGTCAGTTTTATATACGTCGTTCTGTCTGAATAACATTGCCAACCTGAATCTTGATAGCCGTGCTGCAAAACCCTGTAGTTTATTATAGGTCCTCTGTTTGGACCAGTCACCGTCAAAGCAGGAAAACTCAGACGGAACAAACAGCAATGTCACGGTCTCTGTTCCAGAAGTTATTCAAATTTAATACAGTAGGTAATAATAATAATAATAATAGTCACACTTGTCTTACAGCCCAAAAAGCTGTATTCAACTTTTGTTTATTGTCACTCATTGTTTAGTGTCACAGACAACAGTTTTTGTCCTGGAAGACAAACTGTGACATTTCTTCAGCTTTGCATAAGAAGCAGAATCACACAGATTTTGTAAAAATAGGCAACTTTATATTCTTAGAGTACTAAGACAGCTTTACAAACAGGATGATATGCACACAGCCTTCCTTCTCATCCAAATGCAGAGCGGTCCAACCGAAGCTCCGACTCAGAGAGCCAAAGAAAAAAAACAACAACAAAAAAAACAAAAAAAACAACAAACACACCAACAAGACAACAAAGGAAGCAATGAAGTACATGTCCACCCTTTGAGGCCCATATTTGTCCTGCACTGTGCACTTCTGAAACCAGTCTGTCAGCTCACCACCGCAAGTGTTTCAACATCATATATTACATATTAACAAATAGGGGGGGGCAAATTGGTGGGTTGAAGAGAGATTAACCAATAGAAAGTCACTTCCTTCAACTCCAAGCAGATGTAAAAGAACTGTACAGTCAAACAAAGACTTAATTAAAGAAATAACAAAAGATGGCATGTTGCACAAAATGAGCCTCTGTATAAAATAAGTCTGTAGGAACAAAAAGGTCATGCCAGGGTTGACGAGGTCCAGGGAGTAGTTCTCATTTACATATTGACATTAATTTGGTCGACGTACAACCGAGTGCCAGGGTCCTTCGTCTGGCCCCTCATTCTCTTTTCAAACATACTTTCACACACAGATGCACTTGAAAAGAAAATGATTAATCAACAGGAAGCATTCTTGCTCTCTCTTGACCTTTGTTCAGTCGCACATCTCTTCCGGCAGCTCATGGGGGTTGAGGATGCCAGGCACTGACATCTGGAGCTTGTGTTTCTCCTCCTGGGCTTGGCGCAGAGCCGCCTCCCTCTCCTCCAGGAACAGGTCCGTCGAATCTTCGCCAGCAAACTCCTGCAGGACAACACAAGCAGAGGCTCAGCACAGCTTGCACCAGGCTTTTAGGCTCAAACAACCACTGCACTGCTAAATTATGTTGCAATTCCTGCAAATACCATGCGTACAGTCACTATGTTACACAAATACTAAGTTGTACCCAAGTTGTTTTAACATATTGTTTAAGTCAAAGCAATCAGCTGCTGCAGGTGTTTGTTGTTTCCTCAAAGTCAAAGCAATGAGCTGCTGCAGGTGTTTGTTGTTTCCTCTGGACACTCACCTTGATCTGCACCAGGAAGTCCCTCAGGTGCTCCTTGAAGGCGGGGATGTCCTGATTCAGGCTGAACAGACCCGTTACAAACACCTTCACCTGGGCACTGAAGACAAGACATTCAGTTAGTAACAAGGCAGTGATAGCACAGCATGTACAAGGAAACAAACACCAGCACTCTCTGTTCTAGTCGAGATCTTTACCTGATCCTAGAATGCATTTTGACAACTCCCATAGCAGGACTATCACTTTTTTGACTTTTTCAATTTTTGTCCCACACATTTAATTATCTAACACTATTTTTAAAAACACAAATCCGATTCATAACCTTGGAGTGTCATAGATTTGAAACATTAATATCCATTTGAAAATATCAAGTTATGAGTTTTCCTTTGATCCCTGTGTGTTTATGTGAAACCACTAATACGAACCAGCAGCTAAACACACACAGCTCGTGTGAAGCACACTTACTCCTGCAGATGGGGGAAAGCCGTCTTCAGTAGGTTGGCGATGTACTCCTGGATGTGTGCCTGGTTATTGGCGGGGCTGGCTGCGCTGAGGGCCACGCTGACCTTCCCCTCCTCCACCAGGTTGAACATGTAGGCCAAGATGGTAGCGTGCATAGTCAGACCTGCACACAGGCCGAGCTGCTTGTCAGGTTTTGTCACTCAAAGTAAAGTTTTGTTAGTAATTTATGCCACTTTAATTAAGCTGCACTCTTTGGACTTGTTAAAGTGTCACAAAATGATTTCCAATATCAAAGAAGTCAATACGCAGCATCTTACATTTGTAAAACTGAATAAGAAAGCAAATGTGTACAGAATCATAGAACATATTATTTTTTGGGTTTTGGTTTCAACAAAATTGGGGCCATCTGGTCAGTCTGCTCACCTGCTGTGTGAGAAGTGTCAGTGACCACAGAGAAGATGTGCTGCAGGATGTCACAGAAGTACGTCTGGTAGAAGCTCTGTGCTGCCGCTTCCTCTGCAGACACATTCTGCAGCAGCGTGTAAAGGATCTGTAGACCTGTGGGACACGAACCATCAGTTAATATCTGAACTAAGTTAAGGGCTGAATGAAGGGTGAAAAAGAAAGGAAAAAAAAAAAATCACATATCATTTGTATGGGCTTCCTACAAAGATCACTGGCTGCATCACTGTGTGGTACGGAGCCTGTACTGTCTCCTGCAGAAGGACCCTGCAACACATAGTGAAAACAGTTAGCAAGGTTATCGGTGCCCTTTTGCCTTCCCTTACAGGCATTTTCAACACCCGCCTCGCTCGCAGAGCCATCAGCATTGCTGATGACACCTCCCACACCACACACTCCCACTTCAGACTCCTGCCTTCAGGGAGAAGGTATCAGAGTCTTCAGGCCCACTCCGAACTTCATCCACCAGGCTGTGAAGATGCTGAACAATGTTCACTACCTCCTTCTGCCCCTGGACCGTAACCCACCACAGAACATAAAAAGATATAAAAAGACTACCCCCCTGCTGTTGCACAAACTCCATACATTCCCCCTTTTGTTATATTACAGGTAAATCTGCTGCTGACAGTTTTTCTTTGCCAGGATATCAGCTGCTGTTGGTCATTTGCAGTACTATCCTTGTATACCTCATATGCTATTTGCACCTCAGCACCAACGCCCTGGTGATGCTGAACCACGTGACAATCTCCTATTATTGTTTGCACTACTGTCACTGACTGTACTGTTTTGAGTCACAGCTTATTGGCTGTACCGTTTAGATTGATCCTAATTACGTCAATCCAGTTCTTATTCTATTCTATTTTTATTTGACTTTATTCTATTTTAGTTCCTAAATGTTATGGCACTCAATATTGGATGAAAGAGAAACAATATTTTGATTTCTGTATGTCCTGCACATATGGTGAATTGACAATTAATTTCCTGTTGTCCAGTGGCAACTTGAGCATTACTTTTATTGCTTTATATTTTCAGCTCTGTGTGTGCTTCATATTACTTTTACTAAAACAACCACCAGTAGTGGGATAATTTTGCTGGCTGAACAAACAAACACCTCATAGACTAACACCACCATAATGGGTTTGAGTCACTGTCCAAAGGCTGTGGAACAGTCATCTCCCAATCAGAAAGCTGGTGGTTTGATTCCTGCCGCCATCAGTAAAAATTTCCCCATGGGGATTAATAAAACATATAATCATCACCAGCTATTTCAGTTTTTGCAAAAATTGGTTTTGAATTTGTAAACTCCTAAATGGTTCTACGAATTAGTGTGAATACTATCTGAGAGGGTCTGTTGATGCCAGTTCAGACCTGTGTCGGCCACATTCCTCATCGTGTGCTTGAAGGCCCAGATGATGGAGTCAAGGATCAGTTTGAACTGAGCTGGGGCGATGGACAGGAAGGCCGGGAAGCACTGGGAGGTAGCTGCTTGAAGAAGGTAAAAAAAATGGGTTCTGTGTTCTGGGAATTCTTCAAAGTCCTGATGGTATAAAGGAAAAAACAGGGAGTCAAACTGTGTAACTGAATGTTAAAAAACACATATGCAGGGAAATATTTGTACCCAGTTGTCAACAAAATTAAATCAGATCCTGTTGGACTTGTGTGTATAAACAGGTTTTTAAATTAAATCACTGTTGGACTTGTGTGTATAAACAGGTTCACTGAACAGCGGGTGTGTCCTCGTGTGAGTAAGTTGTGATGACTTTACAAACAGTTTTACGTTAAAATCTCCAACAGACCTTGTTGATCATGTTCAGAGTGCACTCAAAGACAGCGTCAAAGATCTTGGGGATTTCTCCTGTGATGTGGACTCCCAGCTTGTTGACGATGGTCGCCATGGTGCTGAGGACCTCAGGATCTCTGGCGGCTGGGACGTTCCTCTGGTAGTCGATGAGCACAGCCTCCAGCAGCGGGGGCACAAAGTTCTCAGCCACCTGCACCACAGAACACACAAACACATTTACACACCGTCTTACCAATGTCAGAGTTCATTTAATCAAGCGCCTCAGTGTGTAACAGTGAGTCACATACACAGAGCACCTTTTTACATGTGTTGTTCCTGCAACAGACAGAGCCCTGTTCTATCAAGTGCGTCTCTGACACACTCAAGCAACAATATGGTCTGAAGCACATTGCTGTCGGTTGGCCTGATGAAGACTACTGGTCTGTCCGCTGTCTGTAGAGCTTATCAGGAGCTGATGACTGGTAGCTGCTCTGATGCTGAACACAACGTTCACGCATCGCTCTCAATTGCACGACTGTTGACTGCTGCACATGCTGCTCCCATGCAGCATACATTGTTATATTCTTATATATTTTTTATTATATGCTGCATCTGTTGCTGCTTAAAGTGCCTTAGATTTTGTTACTTATTCATCTACTTTATATTTCATTTGTATTTTGTGGCATTCATGTGGACGGCAAAGTAAGAATTTCACTGTACAGGGAAACACGTTTCCTAACTGTGCATATGACAAATAAACACTTTGAACAGTGAAGCTGTGGGTATGCTGTTAAGTGAAGCGCTGCAGTGAAATGCTGATGACTTAATTTAGCATCTGTTAAAAATACTAAGATTTTAACTGTCACTGAAAAATAACTAGTCTATACAAACCTGTATAAATGCTAAGTGTTTGTTCACCTCCATATAGAGAGGGATGGAAGACAGAAGGACAGATAGGATAGGTGTTCAGGCAGCATGTGGGGGGGGGGGGACAGCCCACACACCAAACCTCGTGGTCCTCAGCAAACACTGAGGGACACGAGTAGTTTTTTTGGTGCACGTTTTAGGTCCAGTTCCAGTGCATATTGCGGGCCTGAATACAGTTTTCCAACTTTAGCTTTTAATTCTAAACATTACAACTAGGTTGTTTATAGAGAAGCAACTGCACATCATTTTAAAACTATTATTACAGAGTTCCACTGGCAGTAGCAGCACTATGTCGTCACATCACTGCCAAATGAAGGATGCCATGTGTGGAACACTGCTAAAATAAAGTCATTACAAGCAGGTTTAAACACTAGGATACATTTAACAACTCTGTTCTGTTACAGAGCAGACCGGACTCACCATCTGAGGGTCGTTGGAGCGACTAACCCAGCCTGAGATCAGCTTCAGCGTCTCTCTCTTCACTGTCCTCATGCTTCTGATCAGAGGCTGCTTGGTCACCATCTCACCTGTTAAAATGATGAGTAATCTTTAAAAAATTCAGCCTGTTTGGTTGAAGTGTGTTGATAAAGAACCATATACAGAATATGACAGAACTGGTGGAACTGAATCAGGTTTGTAGGCCTCCTTGCTCACACACACACTTTCTCAGTTCTGCCCACAAATGTTCTGATACAGATACTTTGGTGTCCATTTCCTCCAGTGTGATCACAAGGTCCTTTGCTGTTGTTCTGGGATTGATTTGTACTGTTTGGACCAAAGTCTGTTCATCTCTAGGAGACAGGACGCATCTCCTTCCTGAGCGGTACGATGGCTGTGTTGTCCCATGGTGTTTATACTTGCCTAGTATTGTTTGTACAGATGATCATGGTACTTTCAGGGGCTTGGAAATTGTTCCCAGGGACAAATCAGACAAGGTCTTGGGCTGATTTCTTTTGATTTTCCCATGATGTCAAACAAAGAGGTATTGAGTTTGAAGGTAGGCCTTAAAAATCCATCCACAGCTGCACCTCCTATTGACTCAGATTATGTCAGTTAACCAGTCAGAAGTTTCTATAGTCATCACATCATTTCCTGGAGTTTCCCAACCTGTTTAAAGGCCCATTTGACTGAGTGTGTGGAAACTTCTGACCCACTGGAATTGTGATATAGTGAATTATAAGTGAAATAATTTATTTGTAAACAACTGTTGGAAAAATTGCTTGTGTCATGCATAAAGTACATGGTGGTTTCCTTATACTGTTACAGTGCTTATAGGAATCTCACTCTCCTTTCACCCTTGGGAATCATAAGCATTGTTCCCCCACTGCTGTAAGACTCAAGAGCCTCCTGAACAAGGTTTTCATAAGAGGTTAACAACATCTTGTATCCATTAACAGTGACGCGCGCGCGCACACACACACACACACACACACACACACACACACACACACACACACGGGTAGCAAACAGGAACTCACCGTTAGTCTGGACAGCTGAGGAGATGTTTTCACTCAGACATTTGTAGACATTGAGCATGTCCAGGTAGATTCGTCCCAGCTGCATGACAAAAGGATGACCAACAGCTTTACAGGCTCGGACGTTTGTCTTTAAGATGCTGCCCAGCTGACGCACCGTTTCCGCGTCCTTCAGGATGTCCACATTCTGCAACAGAGCCCACATCACAGGCTCAGCTCAGGCCAACAAAACCAGACTGTAAGCTGCATTACATAAGAATTTAAAAAACATCTGTAGATTGTTTTACTGCTGTCCTCACCTTGGTGGCCTGCTGGATGATGCTGTCCCACACCTGGTTTGGCAGCAGCATGTACTTCTCTATCAGAAGCTCCTGAACTGCCTGGTCGGTCTGGGCCCCGATCATGTAGCCCACTGCCTCATAGAACGTATGCACCTGCGGAGATGACGGCCAGGAGTTATCATCCCCAACTAAGTATGTTTCCTAAATAATGAATCATGACACCTGATACCATCACTGACCTGCTGTGGCTGCAGGTCACAGATGATGGTGTTGATGTTGTTGAGGATCTCATCGATGAAGGGCATCACCTCTCCCACCTGAACCTGGACAAAGTGACGACGGCACTTCTGGGCAATCTTGATGAAGGTGTCACATGCCATGTCCTGCACACCATCATGAGTTTCTGAGGGACAAGGTTAGGATCAAACATCAGGATTAAGGATTAATCGGTTTCAATAAAGGTGCACTGAAGACCTAAGACATGTGCAGGTTTTAGTCTGATCTGCATGGAGGACGTGGTCTTTTCCAGTCTCTCACCGTGCATGAACTCAAACAGCTTGTTGACGACTGTCTTGAGGAACTTCCAGTGGGCTCGGAGGAAGCGAGGGTACTGGCCCACAATGTACATGATGTTGGACGCTATGATGGCCTTGTTGTCCTTCCCTCTCTTTTGCTCACATAAGCCAAGCAGGTCCTGAGTACATAGCACACAATCAGTTAATATTGGGCTCAGGTAAACATTTAAGACATAACCACTGTGGGTGGCTGGGGCTGAGGGGGTAGAGCAGCTGTCCCCCAAAACAAAGGTTGGCGGCTCGATTCCAAATCTCCCCTGTCCACATGTCAAAGTGTCCTTGGGCAAGACACTGGACCCAAAGCTGCTTCCGATGGCCAGACCAGCATCGCTATTGGTGTGTGTGTGTGTGTGTGTGTGTGTGTGTGAGAGGGAGAAAGAGAGAGAGAGTTGGCATCACAGATGGCTGCCTTGGTTCTGTACCAGAGACAAATTCCTTGTGTGTATAACACATTTGGCCAGTAAAAGCGATTTTCTCTAAAGAAAAGCAGTTAGGGCTGATTACCCTGGACTGCAGGAGTTTAATGGCAGCACTGGGAGTGGGACGAACTCTTCTAAGCTGGTAGCAGGCTGCTGCCTAAGGCTAATATAATCCGTTTCCCACCTTGATGACAGTCACCAGGAACCTCTTCTCGTCCTCTTCGTGCATCGCCCCGCTGATGGAGCCGATGGCCCAGCAGAGCATGTTCAGGTTCTTCCATGACCACTCGGTGCCATTCACCTGGTTGTGGAGCTTCTCTGTCATGATGCATTCAGTGTCGGCATAGTCTAGATGGGTCAGATACACTGCACGCAGACACACACAGAGTGACAGATGGGTGGGTGAAGGTGTGTACTGTTACATTTTTGGTTGTCATAAATAAATGTTCATCTCTACTTCGGACTCAGTGGGAGCAGTTTGCTTCTAACACGGTGTGATGAAACAGAGATCGAACAGCAGGTGTTACTCTTAGTGAAAATAAAGACTAAAATGTGTGAGACATTGAAATGATACAGTCTGACAATTACAAAAGCAACCCAGACATTTTAAATGGGTTTCCCATCATCAAGTCACAAGCAAGTTGTTTACAACAAAGAGCTAATGAAAACAGTGCATAGTTCAAAACTAAATTAACACTAAACAGAAAATTAAAAACCAAGAATTAAAAATGAACATTCAAAGAAACAATGTGCATCTTAAAATAGTCTCTGAATATTTGTTAATGTGTGCATCTGAAGCAGAACCATGTGCTTCTCACAGGTACAGTAAGAAGAAACTAACCAAGAGTCTCCCTCATGTTCTTGTACAGGTTGATGGCGTCCGTGTCCTTCATGAACTCCCTGACCACCTCGCCCTGATCGTTCTCCACCACCAGAACCTCCTCTGGTTTGGCCATGCGGCTCACCATCAGCAAACGCACCTGCAAGCCGAGGACGGACATGAGTGTGTGCGACAGCCTTTGACAGTCAGGTGATCAATCCCTCTAATGTACAGCAGGTTTTCTAACCCATGCTTAGTAAAGTGTTTAAGTGAGGAAGATTTGTACTTTTAAATGTTTGCAGGATTTTTTTTCCTCAAAACAAAAACTGATGAAACTGTACAGTTCAATAACCACAGCTGAAAAACAAAACATTATGACCTTAGTTTCACATTTTGAGAATCCAATTAGTCATAAAGTTAACACAATTCACTGATCTGCCCATGAATCAGTTTACAGGGATGTTCACTAATCTGCCCATGAATCAGTTTACAGGGATGAGTGTTTCCTGATGATGGTCCTACCCGGGAGAGCACAGGCAGATAGAGGTGTCTGCGAGGTGGGACGTGCAGGGTTACTGTTACCCCTACTTCCAGCGGGGTGCTGGAAGTAGAGAAGGGGCTCTCTCTGTAGAGCTCTGCTGCCAGGTGGTTCCAGTACTCCAGACAGATCTTAAAGATCTCCGTCTCCTCCACCTCCGACACCAGCAGCATGTAGTGCAGGGCCTGGGGATGGGGAAAAGTGTGCTGGGGTCACATAACATTTAATGCAGTAACTGCTCTGCAGTGTGTGACAGTCTTGCACTACAGCTGCAGGTTAAACAACACAAGCTGCATTTCCAGTCAGAACCTAACAGAGTTGTACACTTCATGCGTCCGATAACCCTAACCTGGCATCACGAGCTGATGCAATCTGTTCGGGCTTGCTTTTCCACTGTATTTTTACTGGTCCATCTCTGTTTAGATAAAGGGGGGGGGACAGTGCCCATTATCTCTCTCATACACACACAGAGCAGAGCAGAGGACATGAGCCACACATGCTTGTAATGCTAATAGCTGAGATGCAAAGATGGTGACGTTTAACTAGTGACAGATGATCGACACCACCCCACTCCACTTCTTCCGTTATGAAGGGGACAATAATATCAAAAACAGGGTCTGGCTATGCATCAGTCTCCACTTATTTTCTGTCACACTTAATAGCAGGGCTGATATAAGCAGTACTAATCAGATCTAGCATAGAATCGTCACACTGACGACTCGCATGTTGACATTTGGCATGTGTTTTACGCCGGATGCCCTTCCTGACTTGAACCCGGGCCGCAGCGGCGAGAGCGCTGCGCCTTAACCACTAGCCTACCAGGGACGGCCTAATTGAATCTAGTATAACTTGTGATAAACTGTCACTGTCAGAATTACACCGGCTGGTCCCAGGTCAGTAATGTTGGTAAAACAGATGTTGCACATACTGGTGGTGAAAACATGTCACTGGCGTTTGCCAGGGCCATTTGTTTCTCTTGCTGTAAACCTTTTAGATATCCATCCATATATACATATAAATAAATGACTGACATACGACATTGTCATCAGTGTTAGCTCTGCATGGGTTTGGTGACCAGTGCTATTTATAATAACAGTGGGTGCCTGGAGGTAAGGAGGCTTTCACCAGGAAGAGAGGGTCTAATAAAAAGCTGATGCAAATGCATTGTGGGAACTGCAGGATCCAGAGTTTTGGAGCGTGACCCACACAAGAGGCCAAAGGCCACATTCTACGTGTTCACCCATGTGGTTATGAGGAGCCATGTTACGTAAACTTACCTCATCGACCTATTTCCATATGAAGCCCAAAAAGCCAAGACTGTACAGACTTGTGTGCACCACAAATGCTAACAAAAACATGTTTGACCATGTCTATGTATACAGGCATCCAAAACACTGTAATGTGTACACAGGCATAGGCACATTTTGGAGCCCATTTCATCAACGTTGACTATTCTTTAAACAAACGTGCCCCAGTTTTACAAGCGTGGACCATAAATAAATAAATAAAGAGAACAAAAATAATAATAATAAACCTTTAACATCTAGGCCGGTGTACTTTAACCAAGCCAAATTAGTCTTCACCATTCCTTTTTTTCCTATTGTGAATGCCTACAACACAGCCTTTCACCTCTCAATTCATCTTCAGTCCAGACTCAGCTCACTGACAGCTACTGGGAGTCATTGTCATCTTTGTGTAACTTTGCATCAACAACAGGTGGGAGCTGACTCAGCGAGTGTGTTACACATCTAAATGAGACAGTAGATGATACAAAACAAGAAAACCTCAGACCAGTCGTCAGGCAAGTCCTGTTTAGATTTAACCTGGATGAGTTTAACCTGGATGTGTTTAATGTTACAGGTTCAGATCAGGGTTTAGTTTGGTGGGAGTTGTGGCAAAGGGGTCAGTGTCAGTGCTGAGCTTTGCAGAACTGTAAAACTATACCCATGAAGGGCTCTGGTACAGTCACTACAGTTTTTTGAGGTTTCGCTGCATTTGATTTCTGACCTGCTCATTTGGAGCTTAGTTAAATTTGTGTTTTTGTGACTTGGCTAGAGTTTCCCACTGAGACAATGAGCTCTTTGTGTATTTCTATAACCATAGCAAACAGTCTTTTCTTGGTGACATTGTTGCATTTCCCTCTGCTACTGTCACCTCCTTTGTCTCTGTGAGAGGAGGTGGCCCTTCCCATTGTAATTGTCTGTCATTGCAAAGGTGTAAACAGATAAGAAGAAGATAAGGAGAGAGGAAAGAAAAGCAGCCACTGCATATGATGGGGAGTTTTCTTTAAAGACCCTAAAGCAGAGGCTGACAAAAACAAACCGAAGTCTAACTGTCCACCGTCTGAACAGTGAGAATGTCCATACGATGTTCTAAGAGACAGACATGCCCTGACCTCCTACCTCCATGAATGTGTCTCGCAGGTTGGGTTTCTTCTCAACGAGCAGGCCATGCTCTTTCAAGAAGGTGCAGAGGAACAGGCTCAGGTTCTGGATAAAGTTTTGCTCGTCGTCCTTCCCGTTGGCATAGGCCACTCTGATGTTAGTGTTCAAAGGCAGCATCTGACCAAACGACAAACAGCTCAGCTTTATTTATTTACACTCAAGCTCCGTTTTGCTATAATTACATCCAGAGAGGGTTTTGTCTGAGGACACTTAGTGTAGATCTCGCCTTTAAGCAGCCATCCAAGACAATCATTTCATCTAAAATTAAAAAAGCAACCATGAAAACGCCACCATGGGATGGAGTGAAATGCTTCAGAAAAAGCTTGGAAGCAGAGCTAAGGTGATATCAAACTACTGTTTCCAGGGTCACAAATGAACTTTCACACTTAATCCATTTCAACCAAGAGGAAAAAACCCCTTCAGAATAAAAATGTCCATCTTCTTTGTTAACAGAAGTAAAGATGTACATTTAAATTGTTCAGCATGGTGTTTGGGATCACAAGATAAAGGCACACATTTATTCTGCTACAAAAACAACACTTCCCCTAAGATTTAATGTTTTTGTCACTAAAAATGAATTCAGTTTTATTCTGTGATCTGAGAATTGCATAAGGAAAAATCTTTACTAGAACCCTTCATAGCCTATAGACACATGCAACCTGTAAGGAGGGTTTGCAAGCAGACAGATATCAGAAAGCTTAGCTTTTTTGTCTTTCGCAATTCACTCTTTCTCAGTTCTGCCTCCTGTAAAACACACCAGCATCAGTTTGGAAATATGCAACATAACTCGTGTACTCTCACTGGCTGGCTCTGTGGACAGGTCTGTAAAAGTAATTTATCATCACATGATGCATTCAGAAAACCATTAGTTAGCGTTACAGATTTCAAAACAGTAATGTTGGTGCCCATCATCCCTTTAGCCTCAGGCTGTCTGTAAAAACATGCTATAGGCATGAGCATGATGTTACAGTGCATTCACACACACAGGCACAAAGCAGCTGGCTGTATCAGGCCTTCAGTAAAACTGTAATTCTGCTGGCGTGTTGTACTGAGCATGCTGTTTACATCCTCTGCTCTGACGGGACAGTTGTTTTGTAGTGTACTGGCTGTAGCGGGTAGCGCTACCATGTCTGTAATGTGCGTCTTCGTATTTTACCTTGTTAAAGACATGTCGTAGAGAACTTGGAGGCCAGAGTTTTTTCCATTTGGCTTAAAATTCCTTCAGTGACATAGTAAATCTTATCTTAAATCAACACAATCATGACTGGCTCTCACCTGGCTGTGCTCGCACTGTGTCAGAAAGTGTCTGAATAACTTTGGGTATTTCACAGCTTCCCCCTGTGGTGTAGGCAGGTGCTTCTTGAATTTGCTGAGATCAGCAGGGGCACAGGGCAGCAAAGCCAAGTCTCAATGACAATGAATGGCAGCTGTTACAAACTCAAAAGGCTGGGCCACTATGTGTGCACGCAGGTTTAGCAACCACACCGGTGTCGTAGCTGTAGCTAAAGTGTGTTAGTTTCCCTTTGTGCTGCCTGAGGAAGGTCAATGGGACTAGAACCGAGCACACTAAATTAAACATAAGAATAATTTACAATCT